AGACATCGTTGTGGTCGGTCCTTGGAGTTCTAGAGATTGGTGGACGACTGGGGGATGGCTTTCATGTTGTCAAGGTCAAAGGGCACTCTGCCCTAGACGATGTCCAGCTTGGTCGCACGACGGACCGCCATCGTTTCGGCGATTCCAAGGCCGACGAGGCGGCCTGAGGTGCAGCTGAGTTCTCGCGACCAAGCAGCTCAAAGCGAGGCGTCAGGTCTTGAAGTGGTGGGGCTCATGGATTGGGCGTCTCTCAGACGGGCTGGCTGGCTGCGGGCACCCGAAGAAGCACCTTCGTGTGAAGCCCACAGCCACTCAGCTTGTCCTTGCGCGCGAGCCCGTGCCCAACGAGATCGAAGCCAAGTTGCGCGCGAGATCGAAGGCGCATTCGCTTGCGCGCATCTGGTTGCAAGATGGCCCTCTTGCTGGTGGCTGTACGCGCTGCGCGTGCTTTGCCACCTCTCGGGAGCCTACGCCCCTCAATCGTGTTCGACTGAGCGCAGAAGATGCTTCAAGGGGCTGCCGAAGAAAAAACTCAAACACGATGGCAGGGTGCTCCGTGTGGCGTCTCGGGTCAAGCTCAGGGTGGCTTAGACTTTGAGGCCTCACCTGTTGTGCTGGCGTCTGTGCAGGCTGCTTTCAGAGCGCTTAGGAGGAGGCGGCGGCGGCGGAGGAGGAGGAGGAGGAAGAGGAGTGGGGGAGGAGGGGGAGCAGGAGGAGGAGGAGGAGGAGGAGGAGGAGGAGGAGGAGGAGGAGGAGGATGCTCTTTTTATCTGTTGGCAGCTCTCTTGTCGGCACGACTCGGTGGCCTTGCCCAGCTCGTCACTTGATCTTCCCACATTGCCCCCCTCGGCACGTGAACTCGTGCAATCTGTGGTGTCACGTCCACGGGCTGTGTTGCCCAGCCTGCTGATCTATCCGGCTGGCCACGCGAGCCTCGGCTCCGCTGGCGGCGAGGGCGACGTGATGCAGGCTGGGCCTCGTTGTTTCCTTATTTATCTGCTTGCGGCGCTCCCTCGTCTCCAACGGGTTGCTGCTAGCAGGTGCTGTGCCTCTGCATTTGTCATGTGGCGCTTGGAACGCTCTCTACTTGCGCCCGTCCTCTCCCGGCCTCCCGAGCTGCTCGCGCTCGGTCCGGTTTCTGGATCCTTGGGGCTGGCCTCCTGGCTGGCTCTCGCTGTGTTTGCCACTGCGGAGGTCTGGCTCGTTTGGCAGCGTGGCCCTGCAGGTTCAGCACGCTGGCTCCTCAGTGGAACACTTGCGTGCCTTCCGACGCCAATGTAGCGTCTTGTCCGAACCGCGTGGCCAAGGCCGGTTGCAATGTGCGTCCTTGGCCACGTGCTTCACGCTGGCTGATGGTAGACAGACTCTGTCGGCCGCCTGGTTGTGCCTAGGGGGAGGAGGACGACGACGACTAGGACGAGGAGCAGGAGGAGAAGGAAATTGACGAAATGGAGGAGGAGGACCCGCAGAAGCAGCAGCAGCAGCAAGCAGCAGGCAGGAAGAGGCATGGGGAGGAGGAGGAGGCAGAAAGAGGCGGAGGCAGGGGGCAAGACGAGATCCCCAAGCAAACTAAACATATTCTCACGTACTGTCTTTCCGTCGGGGTATGTGTATATATTTCGGGACACTCGATGTTGAACTCCGCACACAGACCACGGTTTTTGGGAGGATTTCGGCACTCGCGCGCAACGACGCGCGCAAGTGCACTTCGTCTCATCTGTTGCAAAGGGTTATTGCGGTAGCACGCGCGCAGGGGCTTTCGACATGTGCGCACGAGAGGCACATTCGGTAGCATATAATGAGCATGTTAACATGATATGGCATTCTAAAACATCGCAAGGGCGCGACCGCAGGTTTGTTCGACCATTCATGTTGCGAGAACATGGTGTTTTATATGTGCTCGGGGCACTCGGTTTTGAATCCTTGCGAAGCCGCAAATTGTAGCATGATTTCGGCATGCGCGCGGGATTACGCGCGCGCGTGCACTTCGTCCCATATGTTGCAGGGAATTCTTGAAAACAAGTGGTATTTGCTAAACGAGAGTGCGCGCATATGTTTTCTGCAGAGGATGAGCGGGGGCGAAATCGATCAGCGACTGTCTGGGATGGTATGGCTTCATATTTCGGATGGACGAACGTGCAGAACCATGCGCGAACGCAATACGAAACAAAGGGTGAACCGTTACGTCCGGGGGGAGGTCTAGGAGAGACGGAGACGAGGTAAGCATTCGCTTGGGAAGGAACTCCGAGGCCGCGCAGCACGTGAGCTGCACGCAGTGCCGTGCCGGACGCGCGGTGCCAGCGCTGCGCACGCACCCCCGGAAGCGCGAGCCGCGGCGCGCGAGGCGCTCGCGAGGCGCCCACGGGCGGCCACGGAGCCAAGACCTGGATGTGCCGACCAGCGCACTGGGCGCCCGCGAGGAGCCCATGCCGGGGCCGTCGACCGACAGCCCAGCAATGCCAGCCAACTCACGGGGGACCCCAGAAATCGACTGGGGGATCGACTACAGCTGACTTACCCCAGAGTTGATTCTCACGCCGGCTCTGCAGCACAAATACGTCAACCATTCGTAGATCTGCGAAGGTTCTAGGAATTTCCCGTGGATCCGACAAGAAGAATAAGATTCTGGGGCAGATCAATGCTGCAGCCGATCCTCTACTTGAAGAAAAGCCCACGGGCGGCCACGCGGCCACTGCGCGACCGCCCGCCGAGGTGCTGCCCAGACGCACGGGGCGCCGACGAAGCGCCCACGGGCGGCCGGCGCGCGAGGGCCCGGAAAGACCAGCAAACGCACGGGGGGGTCACGAAAGAGACTCACGGACAACCACCGCGCAAAATCCTGGAAATGGCAACTGTTTTTTTTTAGAACGCATGCAATAACCGGTAAGAGCAGCCACCTTTTGGTGGCAGTAGCGGTGCTCAGGGGCACATAACAATCCCACCTACCTTTTATGGCGTGAGTGGTTTAGGGCGTTTCCTCTTCCAACCCCCTTCATTCTGTTCCGGGGAGGGGTGTGCCCCTCCCCCCACCCCCCTCCCTTGGACCTGCATGGGGGGCTTCGCGAGGGGTCGGGGCGTCCAAGAAGGTCTCAGCGACGGATGTGGGCCAATTTTGGCTCCCCCGGGGGGGGGCTAATTGACTTCCACCTCTTCTTTGATCGAACTCCTCCAAGAGGGCCCCCCCGAGAGTGCCCCAAGAGAGCCCCAAGAAGCCTCCAAGAGGCTCCCAAGACACTCCCAAGAGACCCTCAAGAGGCCCCAGGAGGCGCCCCCGAGGCACCCAAGACGCTCCAAATGGCCCCCGCGACCACCCGAGACCTCGGCGGACCCGGCCGGCACACTGGGGGCTCACGAGGCGCCCATGGGCGGGCACCGGGCGAAACCTCCGCGGACCCAACCAACCACTTGATGAGAGCAAGTAGGAGCCCCCACTTGCAAGCGCCCCTCGGGGCACATTCAGGGGAAAGTTCGGGAGTAGCCGAGAACAGCACGAATCTCCAATGAGCGCCCAGGAATAGCAAAGACGATTCAGGAATACTCAGGGTTAGGTTGGGACTTCTAGGAATGCACAAGGCATCTGATTCATGTCTAAGAAGATGTTGTGGGAACAGGTCGGAATACGCATGCAACCCATAAGAGTTACGTAGAAATAGCTACGAATAGCTGAAAGATGCTTCAACTATGCCTAGCTAACCCCATGCTATCCGCACCCACGTACCAACCCCAGGTGTTCACAAATTGATTCCTAGTCAGTACCAGACGACACCAGCGTGAATCGTGACATTAGGGGAGGCATGGGGGGCGGGCCGTTATCGCGAACCGTTTTCAAAATGAACTCCATCGTGTCCTGCTCGCAGGCATCACGTGGTGTTGGCAAGGTTCCCAATCATGTGATGCTACTTCACTGCAGCCGCACTTGTCGTCCCCCCCGCCGCTCCCCCCTCCCAGGATAGCATGAACTGCGCCCCCCCCCACAAGGTCACGAAATTAACGCATGCAAAATACATTCTGCGGCAACGCGAGACGAGTAGCGCGCTTGGACGATTCTTTTCCTACTACCATCGTGCGCTCTTGAACGACACTGTTCCTATTCGCACCGTGACGAACTGCGCCGCTTGCGACACACACCCTCAACCAAACTCACGGCAGCCTCAAACATTGAGATTCGAACGCTGGAGGACATGGGGGACAGCAAAGGCACACACAACTCAACGACTATGCTGCGTCTGTCGAATCATACAGTCGGGCTGGACATTCCACCACCTTCGTCTGAAGTGGGTCACCGTATTCAATGCAGGCCGTGTCCGATAAAAGGCAATGGCTCGCAAATTGACGAACAGAGAATTTACAAGTAGCTTTCACTTGGGGGTCCCGAAACGGTGCGATGACAGACCGTGCGGTGACCTCGAAATCCCCCAAGACCTCACCGCACGGTCCGTCACCGCACGGTCTTGGGACCTTGGAGGCCCCTGTCGCCCGAGACGTCCTCGGAGAACGACCCGAGTCCCAAGCCCGTGCGGTGACCCCGAATCCCCACCGACTCACCGCACGGTGTGGTCACCGCACCGCTTGGGTGCCCCCGATTCACAACGGACGCATCGATTTCAATTAAACTTGCTTCTTCTGATAGTTCTGACAGCTAGTGGAGGCTGAGCCGTCCTTGCGCTGCGACCACGACCGGCGACCACAGCATTCAAGGACACTGGCTGGCCCTTCGGCAAATCGACAGACAAGAATGCGGCCGCACCAGTCACCCCTTCGTAACGCTAGCTGACGCTGAATCCTACGAGAGCTCGACATGCGCGGCACCAGCGACGACTTGCCAGGGCAAGCGTCACAACGGCCTTCTCTGTCGACCACCCCAACCGCCGTCGCAATAATTTCAGTGGCCAAGTACGCAGCGGCAGCAACAACCATGGCTGCGGTGGCGGCCCTCAGCATTGCTGTGACACTGACCGTGGTCGCGGCGGCACCGAGCGCAGGGAGCCCGAGGGAACGGCCTGCGTGTCCGTCAGGCCGCCCCGGGCGTCTGCAGGGCTGGCTGCCTTCTTGGGGGCTGGCCGTCTGAGCACGGCCTTGTTGCCAGCCTTTGGGGGAAGCGGGGCGACTTTGCAACGCTCCCTGAGAATCCATCCTCCCCCTCCCCTGCCATTGCGGCCCAATCGGTCCCGTGAGGCGGGAACCGTGCGTGAACGTAGCGCCCCCGCCCCCCACTCTCCACCACTCACGGCGGTCTTGGGAGGGCCCGGACCCCCATCGCAGCAAAAGAACGAGTCGTTTAGTCTTTCAAACGTGACAACGCTCGCATCCCAGTTGGCCTGCCGCGTGTCGGCATGCCACGAGGACCAGCTGGCATAATTACAACCGCCCTCTAGGCGTAGGTGGTTGAGCGGACTAGCTCTTCCCAAAGAGCCCCTCCTTTAATGTCTGGGAAGCATTTGTCCCCCTCCCGCCCCCTGGGGTCTGGACCCCGCAATGGCGGTGTGTTGGAGGGTCCATTTTGGCATCGTATGGCTCCAATGTCGTCCCCCGTATAGCGGTTCACCGATGGCACCATCGATCAACATTGGCCTAGATGGCCTCCCGTGGCTTGAAACGGCCCCAATAAGTTTTGAATATTGCTTTGAGGTTGCCACACTCGCCTCCCACCTACGGAGAGGTCACCATGTCCGAAACACGCAAATTATTACCCCAGTGCGACCCTACCTAGAAGTTGGAGCCCCTAGGACAGCAGCATTAGTTGCTATGCTACGCTATGCTATGCCATGCCATGCTATGCTGAGCTATGCTATTCTATGCTATGCTATGTTATGCTATGCTATGCTATGCTAGGCTGCGCTATGATATGCCATGCTATGCTGAGCTATGCTATGTCATGCTGCGCTGTGCTATGCTAAGCTATGCTATGCTATGCTAAGCTGCGCTATGCTATGCTATGCTATGCTATGCTATGCCATGCTGCGCTATGCTGTGCTATGCTATGCTATGCTTGGCCATGTGTTGTTATGCTATGATATGCTAATCCAGCGCTGCGCTATGCTAAGCTAAGCTAACCCTCTAGGCAGAACCTAGGTAGGGAATTACATCCATGCTAGTTACCGGAACAGAACAGTAAACTGGCAACGCGGTTGGCACACACGAGCGCCACAGATTACACCCACAGATCCGGGGCAGGAGGACCAGGAGCTGGACGACGGTGAGGATGACGAGGAGGAGCAGGTGGCAGCGGCGGCAAGGGCGGCAGCGGCGGCGTCGCCCACGGATCCGTTTTTTTGTTTGCTCTAGGCGGGGGGGACGACGCCGACGACGACGACGACGACGACGACGACGACGACGACGACGACGACGACGACCGACGACGACCGACGACGACGACCGACGACGACGACGACGACGACGACGGATGCTGTGGTGATGCGATGGTGCCCATAGGTAAACTAAGCTAAGATACACCTGAGCTAAGATGAAGCTAAGCTAAGCTAAGCTAAGATGAAATAAGCTAAGCTAAGATGAGATAAGCAACGCTAAGCTAAGGGGACGTAACTGGGGGAACCGCGGGGCGGATCCTGGGGGAACCGCCCCGGGCGGGTTCCACTGCCCGGCCCTTTAAACATACCGAGTAAGAACCCTTCTAGGCAGAGCCTAGGTCGGAATTAAAACTCAACATGCTGCATCGCCTTTATGGCTTCCGACTTCCCGAGGGGGGGTGTCTAAGCCCCCCGCCCTCCAATTCTCCAAAGACATGAATATTTGGGCGCAGGCAAAATGACAATTGGGGAGCCCCTCCTTTTTGTTCGGCCGATGGCCTCCAGGACCACCCCACATTAAGCCTTTGCCACAAGCAAACGTCCCAAGCCCGAACCCAATATCCCACACTGTTACATCTCAGGCGGCTGCCTGGGCGTATCCCTGATTTGCCTAGACTGGTGATCCCCCCTTCTTGCTTCACAACTGCTCTTCATGTTTCCTTCTCCCGATCACTCGCGTGGGAATCGTGTTTGGATGGGCGGTAGGCGTAACATCAACCATTCTGAGACACCTGTTCGCCACCGTACTTCAAGGCTGACGTCTTGATGGTTTGCCAACTGCAATCCCAATGCCAGCTTAGCCGGCAAGGTAACCCAAGTATGCGAGTCAACACCACAACTCAACTTGTAATATCATTCGGTGGTTTCTTCGATGCGCCTCCGTATTCCCTCAAACATGAAATGGTGTTCCACACGACGTAACACATGGGCCTGAACCACCACAGAGTTGAACGCTCGCCTCCAGAAATTGGTAAGGCCTGCAAGCTGCCACACCCATGCATGTGTAATACGATTTCATTACTGCGGGCGTGCGTGCGCAATGGTAACCGGACCGAGCAACTATGTATGACTGCCGCTCCAACGACACAAATACGTGATTGTACAGCATATGCAGGGTCGCCAGCACCTAAGGAAAGCTCCGATGTGGTGCTGCTTCAAGTGTGGGAGACAAACAACACGACTGTACAATTCCACGCGTACATGAAAATGCGCATTCAATGTTTATGTACATGTTTCGGCGACCACTTATCGTCCCATTGGCCACCCTACCAAAAATGCATTCAAGCATTCCAGTCCCTACATCCCAAATCGTCGGATGCGGTTTTTGCTTGTTCTGATGAATTTTGAAAAGCGTGTCTCCATTAACTGATTCCCCTTGAAGTTCTACGAAGAAAGCATGGCTCGTGACATGTGTTGGGGCTGTTGTGGTTCGTGCTGCTTCGTCCGATATAAGTGTGTAAGTATGTCTGTGTATACTCGTACAGCAATATATACATGAATGTACTTATCCCTGTATGTGTGTGTGTCTGTATATATATATATATACATATGTATGCATGCATGTATGCATGCATGTATGTATGCCTGTCTGTATGTATGTGTGTATGCATGTATATAGATACATGTGTATATCTATGTATATATGTATATACACACATCGGTGTATCATACAAGTGCCCGCGAAACAATGACCACACCGAAGGCGGTGCCGGGCCCCCGGACCTCTTTATCACCCGAAGGGTGGCCCACTGGGCATGCACTTGCCCCCTCCCCCCCCCCCCTCACCAACTGTCCTTCCCCCCTTTGCCCCCCCCCCCCCCTTCTGCCCCCCCCCAGCCCACACACTTTTTGCGCTGCGTCGGCGGCTAGGCAGAGTGACTGCGCTGGCGATGAAGCGTTAGATGACAATCGAACGCGAAGTCGTTGGCGGGAGGCGCCCGGCGTTGGCGGGAGGGAGAAGGAAGCCGAGCCCCCTCCAGCCCACACACGCACACACACACGCATCCGCGGCGGCCTTCGCTGCCTGGGCTGCCGGGTTCAGCCAGCTGTTGACCAGCTTCGCCCTCGCAGCCTCTTCGCGCTTTTTGGCGCTGATCTTGAGGTCCTGCGTCGGGCCATCAAGGCCATGTGTGACTGGTGGCGGCAAGCACGGAATGGGGGTGGCGAGGCGGGGAGGGAAGGGGGTGGCATGGGAATGGGACGAGAAGGGGGAGAAATACATGTTAGGCACCATGAACCCGAAACAATCAGATATTGCTCCCTCGATCTGCAAACTATTTGTTGCAAACTCCGCGATGCGGTCCGTGTATGGTGCAATTTATGTGTTGCTAGCTTTGTGACGCAAACGTTGCCACATTTTTGTGCAAGCTATGTGGTGCGATCCGGGTGGTGCAAACTATGTGGCGAAGCCTGTGTGGTGCAAGAGGTATGATGCATGCTATGGGTGCAAATGGAGCTGGGTTGCGCATCTCTGCGGCCGCGCTGGCGCGCGCAACGGCCAGTTTGGCACAGCCGATCCAGCCGTGATGGCGCTTGCCCATGGCATCTTCCCAGCGCGTCTCCAAAGGCCGCGCTGGCGCGGGGACACCTCAATGCGGGTGGGTGGCTCGGGCGGGTGCGGTATCAGGATCGCGTCGACAACGACGGCAACGACGATGATAGTAGAGACGGTGGTGGCGACGATGGCATTGACGACGGCAAGGCCAGTGATGGCCCCGATGCTGATGACAACAATGATGATGATGTCCATGTGCCGGCGATGATGGTGCTTGAGAAATCATGGTGGCCATGACAACGAATGTCGATGACGATGCCGCGATGCGGCGGCGCCGATGAGGGTGACAGTGAGGAAGTGCGCGCGCGGAAATCCAAGAAACCTGGCAGACTTCCTCTTGACAAGCCCTCTCTGTCAAGCAGGTGTCTGAACAGCTCTATCTTGACTCGCTCCGAGATCCAATGGTTATGGAAGGCTTTCGACACGCGCGCGCGGCGGCGCGCGCGTGGCCCGCATGGTGATACCTGGTACGGCCTCGTGCGATGGGCACATGCTGGATCAACGCGGATGCACCGCGTGGTGAAATGAGAGCGCGCGTCTTGGACGACATTGCTAAATTCGTATGGTGTCCGTATGTTCTCGGCAAGTGAGCGCGGGCAGAACACCTGCAATAATTGCGATGACAAGTGTCTGCGTCTGTTTGATGTTTTCATGTGCGAACGCTTTGCGCCACTGGTGTGCTGGTATGATTCCGACATGTGCGCGCGCGTGCGACTTTGCACCGTTTTCTGCGAGGGATTCTTGAGCAATGATCTTTTCGATAAGCGGGTGTCCGCGCATACTATGGTTCGACAGGGATGATGGGGGGGGGGGGTCGATACCAGTTGTCATGGAAACTCTATCCCATGGGAATGACGAGCCAACGCCATATGCAATTTGCAGTGTCCCAGGGGTGACCGATGCCCCCCGGGGGGGAGGGTGGTAGAGTCCATGTCTCACTTGAAAGGAGAATCCATGTGGTGCTTCTAGAAGAAACAAAAACGCCATACACATAAACTTTTGGCGCTCCGCGCGGATTCTTGGATCTGATCTGCACCCCCCTCCCTAGCGCGCGGAGCGCGCCAGGGGCGGCGCCAGAGGCGCCGCCGGGAAGGCCCCAGCGCGGATTCAAGAACTCCGCGCGAAGTGCCAAAGTTTATGCTTATGGCGTTTTTTCTTCTTCGAGGTTCGTACATTGTGCAACTTGTGGAGAGAGAGAGAGAGAGCAAAAAAACAAAAGAGCCGCGTCTTCCAAGCTCTGGCGCGGTTGCTCCTCCTCCTCATCCTCCTCCTCCTCCTCTTCTTCCTCCTCCTCCTCCTCCTCTTCCTCGCCTCCTCTTCTTCCTCCTCCTCTTCTTCCTCCTCCTCCTCCCTCCTCTTCTTCTTCTTCCTCCTCCTCCCTCCTCCTCCTCCTCCTCCTCCTCCTCCTCTGGGGGCGTGCGCGAGGCGCCCTGCCGGCGGCCGCCCGCGGGGTGCCCACGAGGCGCCCGCGGGCGCGCACGCGGCGAGCCCCCCGACAGACCGACGAACCCCGCGCACGGGGCGCCCGAGAGGTGCCGACGGGCGGCCACCAACGGGGCACCAGGTGAAACCTCGGCATGCAGAGTGGAGTGTCCGAAAGGGCCAGAGGAGGGAGGAGGAGGAGGAGGAGGAGGAGGAGGAGGAGGAGGAGGAGAGGAGGAGGAGGAGGAGAGGAGGAGGAGGAGGGAGTAGGAGGGAGAGGGAGGAGGAGGGAGGAGGAGGAGGAGGAGGAGGAAGAGGAGGAGAGGGGGGGAGGAGAGAGGAGGAGGGGGAGGAGGAGGAGCCGCTGCCCGCTCGGGGTGGGGTCGCGGGGGCCCACGGCGAGCCCAGCGCCTGGGGCGCCCACGAGGTGCCGACGGCGGCCACCAGCTGGGCACCAGGCGGACCTCGGCATGCGAGCGTTTTTTCGATCGGCGTTTCGACATTGGGCGGGGCACCAGGCGGGACCTCGGCATGCGAGCGTTTTTTTTTGTCGGCGTTTCGACATTGGGCGGCAAGGGGGGGGGATGGGGGGGGGGGGTCTGGCTCTGGACCTCTGCTTAGAGCGACTGTTTGCAAGAGTGCGGCCTCTGGGGGGGACTCTACCCGCTCGAAACAGGCGCCAACAAAAACAGCCAAGATCTACTCCAGAGGGGCGGTTTGGGCCCGCCCCGATCGGCAAAACAATTACGAACCAAAACGATCACCATGCCAGTCCAATTACTTACTAACCCAAGTGAGAGCCCCTAAGTGCAATCCCTGCTTCGAGTTTTTGTGCACATGCACATGTATGCCTGCATACACACATACATGCATACATGCATACATACATCAACACATACATACATACACACATACGTACATACATACATACATACATACATACATACCTACCTACCTACCTACCTACCTACCTACATACATACATACATACATACATACACACATGCAATCATACATCCATACATACACACACATACATATACACATACATACATACCTGCATCCATATATACACACATACATTCATACACCCATCCATACATACACACATACACACATACATACACACATCCATCAGTCCATCCATACATCCATACATCCATGCATACATACATACATACATACACATATACATGCCATCATGCGTACATGCATGCATGTATGCATGCATGCATGCATACATGCAGGCTTGCATACATGCACACATAGACATACATAAGCATAGACATACGCATACACATATACACATACACATGCACACATACGTACATACATACGCACATACATACATACATACACACATACATACATACACACACATACATACATACATACATACATACATACATACATACATACATACATACATACATACATACATACATACACACATACACAAATATACATCACACATACACATACACATACACATACACATACACATACACATACATACATGCATGCATACATACATACATGCATTCATGTATTCATGCATTCATGCATTCATACATACACACATGTATATATGTGGGAAGATGGAGCACGAGAGAGAGAGAGAGAGAGAACGAGAGCGAGAGAGGGAGAGGCAGGAACTCAGGTACGAAGATAAGAACAATGAGACGGGCCTGTCCCAGCAGCAGCCTCCTGCTGCTCCTCCTCCTCCTCCTCCTCCCGCTCTCCCTGTTCCGTCCACTACCCCCTCTTCACCCCCTCCTCGTCATCCTTCATTCTTCACCACTCTTTCCATCCTGCTGTTCGTACCATTTCTCGTGCTCCTCGCTTCGCTCCTCCTCCTTTTCCTGGCCCTCCCTCTTCTTATTTTCCTCCTCTGTCTCCTCGCCACCTTGGCGGTGCGCGCAAGGGGGTGGAACGAGGGGGACAACTTCTTGGAACGAGGCAGAATTTTAGAAGACGCCAGCCTCACATCTTCGATGATCTTTGATGAGGCCCGCCCCCTCCCTCCACCCCCATCTGCGCGTGGCTGAACTCCTCCTCCTGCCTTCTTCCCCCCTTCCTTCTGTTGGTGCTCCTCCCCGTCGCACCCCTCCTGCCACTCCTCGGCCCGCGGGGCCAGTGACGCGCCCAGGCTGCAAATGAAACCCTCCTCCTGTCCTCATTTCTCCCCCTCCCCCTCCTCCTCCTCCTCCTCCTCCTCCTCCTCCTCCGCCCTCTCCTCTCACTCCTCCTCCACATACCCGTCATCCCCATAATTCTCTTCCTCCCCCTCCTCCACAAACCCCCCTCCTCCCCACAAGTTGCAGGGATGTTGATGGAGGGCGATGGAGGACCGGGAGAGAGGGAGGGGATTGAACACACATAGTTTGTTGAATCCAACATGTGTTGGTCTGGGTCTGGCTACTGCAAACGCATGGATTTCTACGCTGTGCTTTATTGGTCAAGCTACTGTAGTTATTTGGCTAAAGTGTTTCCAGAGACGCATGCGATATGACAAGCACGTTGCCTTGAACTCGCGCTACCTGCCACATCTGGAGCAGACCAGAGAACGGGCAGAGCTCGTCAAGCATCCTTTCCTTTCTTATGGAGGAGCCAAAATGTTTTCGTGGAAACGTTCTGGTTCAATGATTCGCGTCGCGAAGGGTCATGAATCTGACCCTGCGTTACTACAATGCCAACTTGGCCTGCTGGACTTGGCAATTGCAACTGGAAGTGCTGTGCGCGAGTACGAGCTGTTCGCATTTGCGTCACGCGGTGTATTTACATAAAAGCATGTATATATATATGAATGCATATATATGTATGCATATATATATATATAAGCATGGATACATACCAGGTAGGGTTTGGGGGTATCCCCGCCCTGCTTGAAAGGCTGAGCAGAAGGAGTCGCTTGTCAAACATCACCTTCCTCCTCCGTCTTGTTTTCCAGCTGTCCAGTTTCATCCTGGGTCTCATGCAAGCACAAGCCCAAGTTTAAGGCCGAAACGAAAATACTATAGGGAGGAGAAAGGCTGTGGCGGCCCGAGGCGAAGGGCCGAGCCAGGAAGCTCCCCCTTCTGTAGCTTGCGCAGCTCACCGAGCTTTTTGGCAGGCCTGCACGGCCCTCCAAACCGCAGGCCCACCTTCGTGGAGGCAAACCCTCCACATTTGTTGCGCCAAATGACGGGCATCTCGGGTCCCTCGACCCAGGAAACCACGAGGATATGGCCCTGGGTATCCTCCCGCTCGACGAAAACACGGAGGGACTCGTTGAGTCCCTTACAGGGCCCAGCACTTTCCACCCCCGGCCTTCTCAAACAGCGACGGCAACGCCACTTGCTCGCCGCATTCCACCACGCGAAATCATGCTTAGGCGGGGGCACAGGGCGGGGCTTCCTCTCACAGATTCTCCTATACAGGTGTCCCAGCTGCTCCTGCAGCGAGGGCCAACACGCCAGACACCTCGCCGCCCCTTTCACAAGGACGTAGTAAGACTTGAGGGCAACGGATATCTGCGAATTCTCATCCTCACTATAGCTGTTATAATGGGCCGCCAACTTCGCATAGTGGTCGGCATACTTGTTCCCCGCAATAAATAGCTCATCCGCCTGGTCAGTGGCCTGGGAGCTACTCCTGTGGGCTTTTCCCGTGGACACAGCGGACAACCCGACTGGGACCGACGACCCGACTGACCGCCCTCCAGAAGTGCCCCTGGGAACATTTCGGCCCAAACAGGGCCGCTGGGCGGCCGCACAAGGCCATGCAATCCACGTTCAAGTCCGAGCTCTCAAGCCCGTCTTCAGTGTACACCGTGGCAAGAACTACCCCCGCATGTTCTCCCGACACAGCAGTCTGGGAGAGAGTGGAGGGCACGCCTGCATGTAGGCCTCGTACGAGGCGTCCGTCTTGGTCGATCTCCACGACCGCGCAACCTGCACGGGCAAGTGACCTCACGAACCTCGGGTGCAAGCAGCTCCCGTCCGAGAACACTCGGGCCCCAGGTCCGAAGAGAAATGGCTCGCATGCAAGGCCGCCCCCGTCAGAAAATTTTATATCCCAGGACATCGGAGGTTGGGTGAGGTTGAGGTGGGCAACCCAGCCAAAAGTGAAGAGTGGGTGTCCTTCACCTGCCTCTCGCGCCTGCCTGGTCATTTGACCAAGCTCCTCGTCCTTAACCTCCTGACTATGACTGCAGAACCAGATCCTGTGCCAGGTCGTGTCTGGGCGGCCACAAAACTCGCATGTTGGATCGATGTTCACTCCCCATTTCTGAAGCTGCACGCGGGCCGGGTGGGAACGAGTGAACATCTGCCTGAAAAGAACCGATTCTCGCGCACTGAGGTCTAGCTTGGAGGAGGCTAGGGCCTTCTTGGGGAGTTCCCACCAGAGGCCCCTCTCCAAGAGATCCCTCCAACCAGGCTGGGCACTATCGAATTTCTCTCGCACTACTTGTTGAACGAGCTTGTTTTTCAACTGGCCTACAAGTAACTCTTTGACATAGGCTGGACTGTGGGTGGTTAGTACAATTTCCACCCCACGACAGTCAATAAACCTGGCTGGCTCTAGGATTTCCCAGCCCACTTCTTGGAGCCAAAGGATGCAATCCGAGATAGGGCCTTTGCTTTTCAAGAACCACCTCTTCTGGGCAGCTCCTGAGATCCTAGCTAAAGCAGCATTGACTGTCTGTGACAAGATGTCTGCTCTCAAAGTGTCTTC